GGAAACAGCAGTGTGCTTTCCCTTCTTACCAATAAGCTGAATGTTTTATTTTGAAACCTAGGCTTGATTTTGCGCTGTTTCAGTTTTAAGGTTTAAAAAATGACTGCATTTTAAAAATGAGCTTGGGGAAATTAAATCAAAATAAAGACTGAACGGTTTAGAATTGACTTTCTTCTTGGATTTTTGTTTTAGTTCTAAATAAAAATCAGAACAAAACTAATTTTGCCCTGTGAGCGCACATCTGGAATGAGACAAATGTACTAAAAAATCAAGGAAACTCCAGTCCTGATCCGGTCCGGCACCAATAATATTAATATCTGAAGTGATCCTCTCACACACACACACACACACACACACACACACACACACACACACACACACACACACACACACACACACACACACACACCGCTAAATAGGTCACAGTATTTATTTAAAAAATAAGTTCAACTTTATGTTGCTTTTGTTCAAATATTAAATTTACCCTAAACTGAGCAGAAACATACACTCTAAAAATGAAATGTTGGATTTACTTAAAATGTTTTTATTTACCATGTTATGTGACCTGGTTCCACTTAACTGAGTTGAGTAAATTCAAAGCAACGTACTCATGTTCTTTGGTTAAAAAACTGGTATATTGCTTTGAAATTACTCAACTCAGTTAAGTGGAACCAGGTCACATAACATGGTGAAGTAAATCCAACGTTTCATTTTTTACAGTGTATAATTAGACTTATTTATAATAACACAACTTTACTGACAGTAAAGATTCACACAACTAAATAAACTGAAATAGTAAAAGTTTAAACAGGCTAAAAGAGTTTAATCATCAACGCTTTCAACCTGAAACTGTTGAGTTCCTCTTCAGCAGACAGTTTGTGCAGCAGCAGAAGTTACCTGTGTGTAGTTGTCAGTCCGAGGTAACACCGACAGGTCATAGGTGGCTGCAAAGTGACTTTTGGCCTGTTGGATCTGACCGTAGCGCTCTCTTTTCCTCCACTTCGCTCTTCTGTTCTGAAACCACACCTGGGCGCAGGGATGTGAGGACAGATCAGAAGAAAAAATAAAAGACTTTAGGTGGAGTTTCATCCAGGCTGATGAGAAACATGCTGAGAATAAACTTGTTGGAGTAACACATAAAAGTGTGTACCTGCACCCTGGCCTCCGTCAGCTCCGTCCTCATGGCCAGCTGTTCCCGGACGTAAACATCTGGGTAGTGGGTTTTCTGGAACACCTTCTCCAGCTCCTCCAGCTGCGCGCTGGTGAACGTGGTCCTGTGTCTCCGCTTCTTGCTGCTGGACACGTTGCTGTCGCACTTGTCCCCCAGCTCGTCCAGGTCCGTCTTGTCCGGGCCGCTGGGGGCCGGGGAGGCGCGCAGGGGGCAGCAGCTGTCCAGGGAGCGGCCCAGGTCCGCGCGCACGGCCTCGTCCTCTGGTTTGGGCACGCCAAACCCCACTGGAGGGTCAGAAGGCTCGTGTTAAATCAAACTTTAAAGATCACTTAGCCACCACTGTTGGTGTTTAAATGTCAGGATCTGTGCGTAAAAACCAAGTTTGGTTTTTATATTTTTATATTTTCACTTGATTTTCCTAGAAAGTAGCAGTAGATTCAGTCATCAGGATGTTTTCTTTGCTGCAGTATTTTAACCTGAACCTTTTTTTTTTTGTAAAATGTTTTCATAAAACAAGAGGAATTAAATGTTTAATAAAACAACGCAAATAGATTTTCTGCGTGACGCACAAATTAAAAACTAAAATATGATTC